TCATCTGCATAATATACAGTAGAATTTCTACCTTTTTCCTATCTTGCAGTGTGGTAAAACAATATTAAGTTTTGAATAATACTGTGCATCTTGACTAATTCATTTTTGTTGCTAATTGTTTCAAATATGAATACAGGTACATAGCATAAAGATCATTTTACCAAATATTTCCAAATCCTTGGTTCATTATTATGTATATAACCAACATTAATAATTTGATCATGATCATGTAATAATATAATAAAGCAATTTACAGAAATAGCTATATAATATTTCTACATTTAATTTGAAAATCATATACCTATCCAAATAAACTATGGAAAAATTATTAGTAATTTGTGTAATTTGTCATTGTGGATAGCAAGGACATGAAATGTTGTAACAAATGGGTATTATGTGTTGAGGCAAACCCATCTTCACTAATTGAAAAAAAGAAAATGTTAAAAAGATTCATCATTCTAACAACTATATTTTCAATCATCATGATTTTCGCGATAACACAGCGGTCACAAAAATTAAGGGTGCGCGAAAATCGAGAAATTCAGAATGAAACCAATGCAGCTGTCAATAAGTCTCAATTAAAGTCACTCACCCGATTAAGGGCCAGTGCAGCTAATCTTAGGCTTGCCTAGGCCAAGCTTATGTAATAACTTTGAAGATCACAAATATTTAGCAATTAAACATACAGTAACTGCTGAACATTTTCTTAAAATATTACAAGGAAATATAAATTCAGGTAGGACTGTTAATACCAGATTGAATAGCAAGAACGATCATTTATTCCTACTGGCTATACCTACTGCACACTGAACCTAGGGATTGTCTCAGAAATGTACAGTATTGTTTGTTCATGTTGTTATTTTCCAGCCCTATATGGTAGGTTTCTGCATCATGTTAAAAACCAACTGAAAATTGTAAAATTGCAAAAAATTAAAGGACACAAAATATTTCAAATTGTAAAATCGCAAAAATAAAAAGCTTTACAGTATATATAATTAAGAATACAATTATAATTACCATCAATCACAACAGCATCAAAATTACCATGATATTATCAAAATTACTATAATATTCACCATCAAAATCATCATTACTATTTCTGTAACTTGTAACGCTCTTAAACTTATAAAATCTTTAAAATATTTTACTTGTCTAATTCTTTTAATCTTTAAGCTTTTAAATTTTAAACCCGTCAAACTTTTTTATGGTTTTATTCTTTCAAATTGAATTTTTACATTTTTTTGCAATGTTTTTATAGTTCATTTTACCCCTCTATGTTAGGTTTTGCTGTTTTTCTATCCTGCTGTATTTTTTACTTCTATGTTTTGTATTCGCTTGTTAATGTTAGGACCCCAACGGAAATAAGGTTTCTTTTTTACCTTTCTTAGGTCATCCTTAATATCATGTCCTTGTCTTACCTGTTTTTGTTTGCTTGTATTTTTTGTATGTAATGGTACTGAATAAAATCAATCAACCACAATGACCATTGCAATTCCAATAACCACAATTAAATTTGTTGGAATAGTTCCAACTGGTTTGAATTTTTGTTTAGTAAAAACAACTTACAATTTACAATATTTAAGTGTAGTAAACACTAAAGATCACCCACAAAAGTCAGAAGGCTTAGTTCCAGTGTGGTCCATCTGATGGTGATTGAGCAGTCCACCAGGAGACTGTCCCCTACTCTTTTCTAAATAGTGTATCAGTTCTTTAACATGCACATGGGCTATATTGCACATGGGACCAACAGCTTAAACATCTAATCTGAAAGATGGTGCACTAACTGAACTTGCATTTCAGCCTTCCAGCTGAAACACAAGGACAGCAGTGATGGGAACTGAATAAAGGTACCAAGGGATCACAATATTTCAGCGCACTCACGTGGCTAGCCGACTGAGCTAAACTGCTCTCTGATCACTCTTAAGAGCTGTAGTCATTGTGATGGTCTTTGGGACGGTGTTTTTCACTGAAAATTCCAATCAAATTGTGTTTGTTGTGATTGTGCTTGTAAACATAATCACCATTACAATAACCACAAGCACATTTCTTAAAATTAGTATTGCTAGCCACACAACCACCACCATTATTATATAAAAGAAAATCACCATCACAAATCAAAATCACAAATGTTACCATCACCATTCCTAACCAAAACTTTATTAACATAAACACAATAGTAATTACCATAATCAAAACACAATTTTTAGAATATCAGTAGCAAACAAACACAAAGTGTCAAATCACAATGCATAACTGCAATCACAATTAGCTTTCTAAAATTGGTTTTGATTTTCCAGTGTGATCATAACCACAATTATAATTATCATAATCACCACCACATAACCACATCTCAATTACAAGTAATCACAATTACAAGCACAGTCACAACAAACAGTTCCAGGGTCCCCCATCGGGGAGAAAAACCACAATTCGTCGGGGAGAAAAAAATGTATGTGTATTTTATACATATTATTAGTAGACACAAAAATGATTAAATAAGCCTTTAAAACTCTTTAATTGTTTCATCTGGGAAATTGGGTAAACGTTAGGGACCTCGAACCCCTCTTCGGGCAAATACTGGGGCCACAACTGAATTTCGCATGTGAATATGCCTGACAATTACATCAACCAGTATCAAGTTTGCTAATCTAAAACTCACTATTCATTTCAGCTTTAAAAATACAACTGTTACCTTAAAATGAAACTCAAGTGTGACAAGGAAGGGAAAACTGATAGCTTGAAGAATCTTCTTCTCATTCAAAGTATGTTCAACTTGCTTTAATTTGACCACCTAAGCAGAAAAAAAACCCATCATATTTTAGTTAGTAATGTATGCTGACCATTATAAAATCATTTATAAACATTAACGATTTGATGCTTTAATGTAAATGAAGAAAGCATACTAATGTATATTAATAAGATGCCAATGTTACAATCCTGTTACATTAAGTCATGATCTCTCATAGAAAATACAATTGTTAAACATAACGCTTATTTTAATTAAGTGAGCAAAGAAAATCAGAACGTATGTGCTAACACGAAGACAGAAGTAGGCCAGATACTGAAAATAGCAAAAACTGGCTATATTTAGCTACAAATTCCTTGGTTCACCTATTATTTGAATTGAGAGATGAAGACCACTGTGTGGTCGAAATCCTGTGTATTAATGAAATTTGTTAGTCTGTAAAGTGGTGTTTGTCTACAATTTACTGTTTAGCTTAGTAGTAGGTATCCCAATAAAGCTGTTTTTTGTTACCACAGTCAGACAATGTTCATGACCTTCAATGAAATGAGTTTGATGTTAAAAAAATTAATATTACTCGTGAATGTATGTCACTAAACATATATCTAGAAAGAACATGTTTTATTCTTTATAAATTTTTAATAATACAGTCGACTCCGCCTAAGTCAAATCTAATGGAACTGGCATAAAAAGATAGAGTTATACAGATTTCGACTTGGAAATTTTCAAAAAAAAAAAAAAATATTATAACATAGAACAATACTATGTGTACTCAATGCCCACAAAATCGAATTTCACGCAAAACCGAACATTTCTTTAAGTCCCAAAATCATTCCTATTCTTCTTTTAATAAAATACTTTCCTGAAAACATGAACTCCCTATTCCGAATCTCGGACGATTTGTCTAATTCAGGTTGGTAACACTCACTAGAAAAACCAGACGATAGCTATATCATCGTTTAACGACAAGCATACCATACGACGCTGTGAAAATGAGACGCTTAACTGTACTCGCATTGCCATGGAGATTATCTGTTGATTAACATGACACGCCAGTAGACATTTTGTTGGTTAATTATGAAGTGAAATTTAGGTACGCATTCCAATGTTTTAATTAGTGTATATTCTTGCTTTTAATCCTTAAAAACCATCTGGAATCAACCTGAAATAAAGACGGAACTCGACAAAGCAAGTTCCTACTGGTTACTCTTTTTAGTAGACGTCTAATTCAAATTCGTTTAGATTCGTCAGTGTAAATTGCAAATGCACCTCAAGATGCTATTCAAAACATGTTGCTAATTTTATTACAGAGGAAATTTTTTAGAGAATAAAATCTAATTTGTTAGGTTTATTTAGATTTGACTCTAAAATAATAATACCATGAGGGTTTGTTATTTGTTTTTTGCTTTGTTTGTCAACATTCTTGATTACATTGAGCTTGTTTACTGTCACGTACTGTGAAACTTTGGGCGATCTGACGTCTGGTGCAAAACACCCCACGAAAATGGACCAATTGGCGGGCAGGCAGAGTTTTTGGGGGCGCGACCTATTCTGTTTACAACTAGACTGCCGACCAGCATTACCCAACGAAGAATGCGTGCTTGGAAAAACATAATCAGACCTAAAGAAATGCACGCAAAAACAATGTCGCGCTGTTAGTTTAGACTTGGCTAACTTGTTGCCGTACAACAAGGATTGAGCTTTGTATTTTCCCACGGCTGTGTATTTTCCCACATGCGCTACAAAATTTGGAACTTTGAATTGTGTGGTTGAAATTACTTTAAAATCGGCCTATCCGGACAGGAAAACTCTGTCGATATAGCCGAAATTCGAGTTATAAAAATTCGAATTAAACAAACAATTTACACAGTAATACATAGGAAAGAATTGGGACTTTTTCAAAAATTCGACTGATGCGAATTTTCGACTTAAACAAAGTCGACTTTGGCGGACTCGACTGTATTGCTGAAATATATGCGCATACATAAATCTTTGGAAAATACTCTACTAATTTTCAAAACACGATCACACGAAATCCAATAAAGATAGTGGAGTGATTTCTTTTATATGTCATTAGGCTATGTAAGAGCTTAATTGTGATGCACAGTATAATTTACTTGGTATTAATGTCTTTATTCCCCGAAAAATTGATTAAGTATAATTTTAAAACATCAATAATCAAATCTAATTATGCATTATACTAAAGCTAAATTATATTTACATTTGAATTTACATGGAATTCATATATATATATAGCTGCGCTTATAAAAAAGTTGCACTTATAAAAAAAGTATTGCGTGGTGCTTATACATGCATTAACAGTACCTTCTAATTTACAAACTGCGTATCCATGTTTTTAATGTTGACAATAATCTATCTTCATGTATACTGTTATTCTCCTACATTTTCACATGTTTAAGAAGACTCTGATTATCACCATATATTTTAAAACTATATTAAAACTTACCTTATTTTTATCCAAGATTTTCATTGCGTAATATCTTTGCGTGGCTTTATGCTGTACTAACATCACTCTGCCAAATGAGCCAGTTCCCAAGGTTTTAAGCCTTTCAAACTCCTCCAAACCTGCTGTGTTCTATAAAAATAGATATATTCACCAGATTAAAATTTAATATTCGTAGCACCTGATGGTAAGGAAGGAATTAAGATCTTCTAGTTCACCAATGCATACGTTTGCCCGATTGAAACCACTGCAAGATGCAGATTTTGACTTTCCTTTCTAGAGGAATAATTTTGAATACTTGTATGTGATATGTCAGGAGAGAGTCGAATGTATCCACAAATTTTCTATGTAAAGAACATGCTGAATTCTGGGCAAAGTCTGCAGTACAATTTCTAGGGTCAGATGTGGTAGGGGGAAGTTTATGAGCTTGCACCACTTATAACATCTAAAGGACCATCATATCAATCAATCAATCATTCCATTTATATGGCACCATTCCTACAGTCATTGCTCATGGTGCATTGTGGGTAGTGACTTAAAACTCGCATCAAAGCAAAGATGTATGTGATCTGTATCAGAAGAGCAATGCTTTACGGCACAGAAACTTCGCTAATAAACGTTGAAGCGCTCACTGAGAGAAGACTTGGATTTGCTAGCTGATGGACACGACCTTTGTACGATGCTGTGTGTGCCTGCTAAAAATCAGTCTCAATAACTACTTTAAACCAAAATAAATTCAAGATTTTGTTGTCAACTGAGATTCAGAAAATAAAGATATGAAGTACCCTTTGTACTGTATACACCATAACAGCTTGAGAGCAGACAACCTTAAAACAATTTTTATTCAAAGGAGTCCTGTAATAGAGAGAGCATAATTGGCAGGTCTATATGGGACCAAATGAAAGGCAAGATCAATACACAGGGTTCGAACTAACGCTGGTCCGCCGGCCAATGACTAGTAAAATGCATGGCGGACCTGTTAATTATCCCAATAACAAGTCCACGAGACCAGTTAAAATGTCAATGAAAGAATGACGAAATACCTAAAGCTTTAATGATCGCTATTTTCTGTTTATTGTCATGTTAATGTCCGCTACGAACAGGCTTGGTCTCAGTAATTCAAGGCAAACCGATGAACATCACGCACTAGCCTAGACCATAGAGGAATCCATGGCTACACGTACAGAGGGAAATCACCTTCTCCGCATGTTATAGTGACAAGAAGTTGATTTCCGTCTGTGTGAACACCGTGAAGTTAAAACATCCATGTCATGTATCCATCCCACAATGCAATGTGGGACAAAAAGTTAATAAACAACGCAATGATTTCCAGATGAAATAACGCAATAATCACACCCTGTAAATAAACCGTTAGTACAGTCCCAATAGCATTGCCATGGAGATTATCTATTAATTGAAACGACACTCCAGTAAAATGTTAGATAAAGCAGGGAGTTGGATAAAGTCAAAGTTACACCTTCCATTGTTTTAATAAAGTGCATTATCGGCTATGAATACTTAAAAATCGACTGTAATCAACCTGAAATGAAAAAGGAACTCAAAGCAATTGTTTCTACGACGGCTCTTTTCCAGTAGACGTTTAATACGGATTTGGTATGTCTTTAGATTCAAATCAGTCTACATGTAAATTACACTCACATTCCCCAAAAACATTGCTAATTACGGAGGGAATTTGCAGAGAATGAAATTTTAATTTGTTAAATTTATTTTTAGATTTTACTCTAAAACAAAACCACGAAGGTTTCTTATTCATTTTAATAAATTTGTTGAATTAAAAATTTATCGGTTTACGCTAAGCTTGTTCCTGTCAGCAAGCTGTCACACACTTTGAAACTTTGGGTGATCTGACGTCACCACAGTGGGATTTTTGCCCAGCAACATGACACCAAAATATTGTTGAAATAAATAAACAACAGGTACTGTACGTATTATATGTTAAATGTTAACTTTTTTAGTAGGCTAGTCATACCGAATTCACTGGGCTAGCCTATGCTGCTAAGCCTATTTTTAGCGTCTAGGCCTAGGCTAGGCCCTAACTGGCCTGCCTTATTCGGAAAGGATTCAATAGAAATGTTCCACAAAACGATCTTTCCGGAAAACCAAACATCGTAGCGAACATCGTATTGTGAGTGCACTGTACATACAAATAGATTCCTGTATTTATATTTCGCAGCATAATTTCAGAGACAACAGAAAGTTTTTTCTGTATCTGTCAGTGTTACTTCATCGGTGGGGTGGGGGGGCCAGCATGATTAGCATGTGAAAAATATGGTATTTGGGCCTTCCGAAGTTGGCAAGATAGTGGCTAGTGAAAGAGATTGAGGACCAGAAAAGTATTAATTTACTGGTCCACTTGGCTAGTTAAAAAAAAACCTTAAGGGTAACCCCTGAATACAAATTGTTTTGGATGATGAAAATTTTAACATAGTATAATACATACTCCAAGTATCGAAATGCATGTCAAATGTAACAACATCTTTCAAATAATGTTCATAAAAACCTTATCATTTCAGTAGTAAATTTGTGTGTTACAGACAATCCGCACATAAGAACAACATGATTTAAAAATCAAAAATTTGTATATGTTGCATTTTTCCATTTTTCGATGGTAATTTGCTATTTTAAGCCTTCTATACATGAGAATGCGGTAGTATAACCCAATCAAAGAAGCTGGAAAGAAGTAATCTTGGCTTTGAAATATTCCTAGATAATGTCTGAAGTGAATGGCCTTCAATATTAAACTATAGATGCTTGATCATTATATCTGATGGTATGTAAATTTCCAGAGCCCAGACTTGGCAATCTAATATTGAGTTCTACAGTGTGCTATAAACCTATTAACTTTTACAACCTTCAAATCCCACAAAATTTCTTTTATAATTATTTCCATAATTAAAGATGATTCATAGAATTAGGATAATTAAAAGATGGTTTACAGTAGTTGAATTTATCATTCTACTGAAATCACAATGCCATCCATGTAAATATTTTATTGTAAATCTTTGTTATCCCTGACAATCATCTATAAAATTTACAGTTTGACTACAGTACAAGTGACTGGAATCATGTTTTGCTCTACCTGACTACTAAGTGATTACTGTACTTGCATTGATAACCTTGAATATAATACACAAGCCAGAACGGGTGAATTATAAATACTATAAAACACTTACAACCT